ATTTATAGTGATACTCCAATCAGGATTTTTAGACATTTATTCAGGGCCTGAATTTCATTTTTGAAAATGGGGGGAATTCCCCCTCTTAGGTGACTCTTGTGAGAGGAGAAGCAGCACGGACTGTGCTTTCACACAGGAGTCTGCTACTGATCCGTGGCCATTTACCACAAACACAACATTTATCCATTATTTTGATTTCAAATCCAAACATTGTCACTGAAAATGCTTTTTCAGCATTGCAATTCTTTTTTTACACAGGACAGTAATACAATCTTTCACAGACATGTTTAAACAAAAATAAATATAAGCAACACATTATTCAATGCTTTTTACTTTTGCATTTACTTCTAGGTTGATATATTAAGTTGCTCAAGCAAGTGGCAAAACATTTAAACTACTTTTCTTACGTTATCACAAACTTACCATTGACAGAAATAGTCAGCTCTACTGCCTTTCCTTTTGCATTTAAATCTTTGTTTCAAGCAATCCTACGGTTCATCCAAGAACTTTGTTTTTCTACCTCCACGAGTGCCATCTATTATTGCCTTGATTATCTAAAAGTGCTCTTTTCCTTTAAACCTAGCCAAAAAAACATATGTGTTGACTGTGAAACACAGTAGACTTTAATAATATGCATTTATGGTGTAATTACTACATTTTTGTGTCAATCCGTGTTCATATTTACCGCAAATAATGCGCTGTTACTTTAATTCAGCGCATGCAGCGGAAACGATCTCTGCACTGCTGCAGACGCACCGCTCCTGCAACACATTGCCAGACCGAAAACCGTGTGCAGTGCGAACGCTTTAATCCGTTAACATGAGCGTGGAAAAAAACGCAAATGGAGTAATGTGAATCTGGCGTTATGTATGTGCGCTGCGAGTGTGCATGAGCTGAATGGTTAAACACTGGCAAGAATTAAAAAGAAACGCAATTTGACGATGCAACACTTCCTCGATTGTGCAAGTGACAATTCCTGTGTCAACTGTGCAGCGTGCAGCTCGCTTATAGACAGAAGTGATGTGTGGTGATTTGAAGCCATTTGCGTATTTTGAGAGAGAAAGAGAGAGCGTGCGCGGTGATTCACTCATGCTGTTTGTGAAATTGTCACACAAGGTTTTCAAATGACTTTATAAGTTATTTAATGAAGAAATATGAAGGTGAGTACCTCACCTTCAGCGTTATAATTATTTCACCCGTGCCGGACAGAGACGGTGCTGCTGCATGTCGAGCCAAACCTTCTCATGGCAGGCGCGTCATCAGCTTGAGATCGACCTTATTAGAGACCGCCGATCAATCGGAGCACCCCTAATTGTAAATGCTATAGATATGTATTATAACTCAAAATCTGTGACATTTACGGTAAAATACCGGCAGCTGTGGTTGCCAGAACTTCACCGTTAAAAATATGGTTGCTACATTTTAGGTTTTACAGACTTAAATTCACAATAAAATACCGTATTTCATTAACTGATGTAATATTAATAAACTAACATATTGAAGTACTAATATCTGTTTTGAGCCATTGTAATGCACTGATAACCACCAAAAACCGGTGGTGATGAGAAAGTCACATGATGAACCAAAGCTCATCACAAACAGCTTTTCTACGAGCTGAAGAGGGCATTATTTATATATAGAAGGTGCACAGTGTCATTCTCACAAACACTAAACCCCATCATGGTAACACACATTATACTGAAATAATGAAACAACATTAGATGTAAGATAAAACCCTAATGTACACAACTGATAAGAAAAAACTAAGAAACATGGTTATTTCAACTACAAAAAAACATCAAATAAGTGTCATGCAGGGAATTCTGGGAGTGTCAATTTACGTTTTTTCACTGTAAATTATACAATGGCTTTTTCTTTTTCACTTCCAAATAACTTATTTCTAACAGTATTTTACTGTAAAATTACATTATAATTACATTTATTCACCGTATATAGTATGGACACTTGCTGTTAACCAATTAACAGGTTTTTACTGTAGTATTTTTACAGTCTTTTACTGTTAAAATCACAATAATTTTGTACAGTGCAGTCACTCCACAACAAAACCTTAAAATATAATGGTATTCAGAACAGAACAGGAATGAAAAGTACATGGACCATCATAAATTTCAGTGGTATTCCTTATAAACCTTTATTGTAAATGCCAAAGCTATACAAAATTGGATAAAGTGATAAACAAATAAACTTGGGCTCATGTACTTCTCATCCGACACAAATCTAAAATATGTGCATTTTGCGCATGTTTTGCATGCTTGATGTGAATTGCATGATACAGGTTGTTTTGGAAAATAAGTTGCATAAGTACATTTCAGATGATATTAAAACCATGACTTGTATTCCTATTATATGCATTTGATGACATGTATATTTATTGTTGCTCCAACAGTTTTCCTGGTTCAAAAAATGACATTTTGCTACTCTGAATCAAGGAGAAACTAAAAAATAATTTGCCAAGATTCGTGTTTAATTCCATCACTGATCAAATATTACACACACTGTGATTGCATAACAGGCTTTCCAAGTCTCTTCAAGAGCCACCCGCCTTCCATGATAAACCAAAATTAAGTAATTATACCTTTCTGATCCAACAGAATAATTGAAAGTAGCCTCCGACACGCCTGAGCGAACAGGTTGCATTCATCATGATTTATGTACATAACAAAAAGTAGCTTAGCAACAGGTGATGTCATTATGGGATGTCCAGGGAAGTGAAGTTACAAGACGAGGTCAGCATTCATTTCCTGAACTTTTTTTTTTTTTTTCCTCCGTTCTCACAGTGACCGAAAAAGTACATTGGTACACCCATGTTTTCAAAGAGTATTGTTATCTTTGCGGAGTTACATAACTGAACTACAATAGCCAGACTTACCATTTCCAGAAACATGCCTGTTTGGTTGATGCTTTTGCAGTGCAGGACATGTTTTTAGTTCATTTATCGTTTAATAAATAATGACTCCGATATTCCATTCTTGAGTGAATTAAAAATAATGTTATTAATAGTAATATATTTTTTCTTTATTTTCATGAACAAATTTGTACTGTTTGTTCTTTTATTTTTTTGATCGTTTATATCTGACTGATTAAAGTTATTGTATGTTCTCTCACAGAGTCAGATGTAAGTTTGGAGGATCAGACGGACTCTCAGAAGACAGTGTGGCCTGATATCACAGACAAAAAAGATCCACCAGTGGTTAGTACTAAAAAATATAGTCTAGTGTTTAGACAATATATATTTAATTTACTGCACTTCACTTATGAAATATGCTGTGGGTGTATGTTGTGACATGAATGATATCCCATGATAGTTATGTTGCAAAAATACTAAGGCTGTCAGTTGTTTATTATTGTTTCTGTCACTTCTTTGTTTTATGCTGATGGATGATTTTGACTGTGAAGTTTCAGATCATCATCGTGCAATATATTTTAAAAAAGTTATTAAGTTGATATAATCACAAACCTAACAAGACAAATGTGATTTCAAATCACTTTTTAACCAAAATAGGCTCTTGGTTTTTTGTTGTTGTCATTATCTCTGTCAGCAAGATCCTGAACATTCAGCGAGGGGTCAATATTCACAGTTGCTTTGAACTAAATAATTTTGAGCACCAAGCTCCAAATGGGGGCGATATTTCCGTGAAAACATAACGTAACGTCCTGTTACTCAGCAGCATTTCGGTCGGGTCCCCATGGTGTCGGGCCCATGTATAACCAATAACAGATGTGGTCCTCCCTTTCATCTTTAGGCGTGCTGGTTATGAAAAGATCTGAGAATTATTATAAACATCTGAATATCCTGCAGTAATATATCTTTGTACATGTGGAGCCAGTGCTAGAATAAAGAAGAGAAATACACTACCATTCAAAAGTTTGTACTTTTTGTTAAGGAATTAATGCTGGTATTCATTGAGGATGCATTACGGACATTTATAATGTTACAAAAGATTTCTATTTTAAATAAATTGAAAAAAAAAACAAACACAAAAATTAAGTATTTCCACAAAATATTAAGCAGCGCAACTGTTTTCAACACTGATAATAATAAGAAATGTTTCTTGAGCAGCAGATCAGTATATTAGAATGATTTCTGAAGAATCATGTGACACTGAAGACTGGAGCAATGATGCTGAAAATGCAGCTTTGCATCGCAGAAATAAATAGCATTTTAAAATATATTCAAATAGAAAATTGCTATTTTAAATAATAATATTTCACAATATTGCTAATTTTACTGTATTTTTATCAAATCAATGCAGCCTTTGGTGAGCATAAGACCATTATAAAAAAACAAAAACATTAAAAATCTTGCCAACCCTAAACTTTTGAATGGTACTGTATATGCGGCCGTATGTTTTCTGCCAGATGACAAGATTTTCGGTTTCAGTTTTGTTGGTTTACTCTAAAGTGCTGTACTCACAATGTGATTGTGCTTCTGTTATTCAAGGTAAAACAGTTGCTTTTGTGTCTGTGTTCACAGAAACTCTAGATATGGCAGCAATGAGGCGTGAAGTCCAGAAGCAATGTGGATTTGTTTATTTTGTGAATGGTACTGTATATGCGGCCGTATGTTTTCTGCCAGACACGATTTTCGGTTTCAGTTTTGTTGGTTTACTCTAAAGTGCTGTACTCACAATTTGATTGTGCTTCTGTTATTCAAGGTAAAACAGTTGCTTTTGTGTCTGTGTTCACAGAAACTCTAGATATGGCAGCAATGAGGCGTGAAGTCCAGAAGCAATGTGGATTTGTTTATTTTGTGAGAGTTCAGGACTGGAAGAGAGTGCTAGCTAATAAAGATATAGTGTAAGTTTTCAAACAAGCAATTGACAAAATGCAGTTGATTTACATTGTAGGGCACAATGTAACAGGTTACATAATGATTTTTCACAGCACTGTGGGTTTTGAGCTGTAGTTTGGGTAGATCAGCCAGCCGTTCTCCTGTTGGACGTTGACAGTTTAATGTCGTGACCTCTGGGCCAGCTGTTCATCTTTACAACCGTTTAGGGGAATGGGGGCTGGGGTTACCCTTTTATGTGAACTACAAGTGCTGAAGGCCTTTTCCTGCAAATTCTAACCAGCCCTATCCTGGCAACACACGGAGCCTCGGTTTCTGCTTATTTCACCTCTGAGATCATGAGCAGATGGAAGAAATCACTAGTAGGTGTTACTCGGCCTCGTTTCCTCAGGGCAGAGGGTGTGTTTGTGATTGTGTGTATACATGGTACGCTAAACACTGAAAAGCTTTGACGATGGTTCAATGGTGGTGTCCGTCAGAAAGGCATCAGGGCTGTTATCTGCGTATCCCACCGGACAGGCTTTCCTGCAGGGACTGAGCTCAGAGAAGGAAGGAGAACTGAGACGCAGAGAAAGAAAAGCGACTGTGTGGGGTGTTCTTTGCGAACTTTGTAAAAATGCTAATAAGGAGGCATTTCTATAAAAGGCTACCAGACTCTCAGAAATATGCTCTGGTCAAGATAAGACGCTTTAATTATAACTTGATTGTTTGCACAATGCCAAGACATTTAACAGGGGGAAAAAATAGTTAACTGTCACACAGCAATGGCTAACTTTAGCTAACTTGTCAACTTGTTAGTTTAGATATTTTTTTGGGAATATTTTAGACTGAAATAAACTGATACCACAGAATTCCTCAAATCCGTTTCTAATACAAATTAGATAATGGTGCTGTGGTTTTCCGTTCCAAATTATGTCACTTCCTGGAGGATGATGTCATCTTTTTTTAGTTTAGGTATGTTACAAAACACTAAGAGCACATTTTTTAAAATGAGTTTTTTCATATATATTTTCTGTTTTCATTGTAATTCTTATTTAAATATTATTAATTTAGTTGTTTTGTGATTTTGAAGAGTTATTAGTTTTATTTCGGTTTAGTTTCTATTTCTATTTATTTTAGTTTTGGCAAATTTAGTACTTTAGCTTGAACTAAATGAAAATGAGAAATGTTGCCATTGCAAAAAAAACTAAATTAAAAAAATATTTTATTTCAGTTAATGTTTGTTATTTTAATTATCAAATATTTCTTTAATGCTTTTAGTTTTAGTTAGTGTTGTTATTAAGTATAACTTGATTTTAATTTAAATAATCTCAGGAAAGCATTGTTTAGAAACATTTCGATTAGAGAAAGAAAAAAATTAGAAACGCATTGGAAATTTCATAAGACAATTTTTCATGTTAGTAGGAGCAAATTTTCTGCATAGTAACGGAATTTTTAAATTCATGTGCACCTAATTGTGAACCAAAAAATATGATTAGCATGTATAAAAAGGATGAATATTATATCTGATCCAATGTTAAGACACTGTGGACTATTAAAAGGTACTTTGTAACAGGAATGATGTGTGAGAAAGAATAGCGCAAAGGACGAGGAAAAGAGACTGTTTGCATATGCGAGAGAGTGTGTGTGTGTGTGTGTGTGTGAGAGAGAGAGAAGAGTGGAGTGGGGGATGAGCGAGGGAAAGGGGCCGGCCCTTCACACAGATGTGAAAGATTAGGAGCGTCTCATTTTTCCAAACGCTTGAGCCGTGGAGATTGTGCCTGTCAGGTCCTCATGTGGGAAATAAGCTTTGTTCAGTGTCACAGTTTCTTCTTACGCGTGTTGGAAAGATGTACGAGCGATACAAGCGGAGGTATAGTTTATGTGCCAAAGGAGAGAGAACTCTGGATGTAGTTTTAATCAAGGTAAGAAGATCTGAAATATTGACATTCAGTGCTGTTGCATTGTGACTTTATTTAGTATAAACTGTAGGATTTAAACTAGGTTTTAAATCACTAGCAAACGATAAAATTGCCTAAATTATCTGTTTTAGTTGAGTTTTTGTATTTTGTTTTGTTAACAGCATAAAATAAGTTTTCTCGTTCATATACATATATATATATATATATATATATATATATGTATGTGTGTGTGTACAGTATAGATAGATGTTTTTTGTGGCAAAACATAGCAAAAAAATATTTATGCTATTCAAAAAAAGTGTATATATGTATGTAAAATGACTTTTTAATATCATAAAATAGCAAAAACATTTATTTATATAAAACATTTTTATAAAACTCAGTTGTGCTTCACTTAAGTCTGAACTTTTTGTATAAGCACTAGCAAACGATAAAATTGCCTAAAATATCTGTTTTAGTTGAGTTTTTGTATTTTGTTTTGTTAACAGCATAAAATAAGTTTTCTCGTTCATATACATATACATATATATATATATATATGTATGTGTGTGTGTACAGTATAGATAGATGTTTTTTGTGGCAAAACATAGCAAAAAAATATTTATGCTATTCAAAAAAAGTGTATATATGTATGTAAAATGACTTTTTAATATCATAAAATAGCAAAAACATTTATTTATATAAAACATTTTTATAAAACTCAGTTGTGCTTCACTTAAGTCTGAACTTTTTGTATAAGTTTGAACTTTGTGTTATAAAATGAATGTGGACAGCATCGCTTGTCAGATACATTGATGGAAGTCTGTGGTGAAAAGTGTTGCACGTTGAAATTTGTGACATTTTATTGCAGACATTGCCATCAGTCGCACAGCTTGAGACATTTATAATATCTCAGTTATTTCTTCTAGACATCAAGAGGTTCAGAACAGATCGCACCTGATATATCATTTGTGGTCTTTCCTATATATGCAAATATTATTGATAGCTTGCAGTGTTGTTCCAAGTTTTTCCCAACTAAGGTGAAGTTTCTGTTCATAGAGCGCATCTGTTCCTGAAAAACATAATGGCCATGTCTGTGGCGTTTGCAGTCAGCTGTTCTTTCTGAGCGTCCAAACGCTGTCATGTCTTATTTGTTGATTCATAGTTCTTTTGTTGGCTTGAGACATCTGACATCCACACATCATGCCAGACTTAAAACTGTGTGTGTTTATGTGTGAGCACACACAAGGTGCAGCTTGTTCTCAGCTGTTTAATGTGGTTCAACAGACAAACCCCCTGAGGCGCTGATCTGCCAGCTTGATCATACAGTGAAGAAGACGTGTGGCTTGATGGGTCTTAACAGTCATTAGCACAGATGCCATTTCTTCCAAACCTCAAATCCTTAAGCTGTCAATAACTATTGAACTATGTGTTCAGTGCCATTAAGGTTTTGTGTATCTCAGAGGTTCTCTCACATGGCAATTCATGACTCATTTTCCTCTTTTGAATTTGAATGCCTGT